GAGAAGGCCAGCGCCAGAGAGGATATGGGCCATGCAGCAAATGCTTACTTCTGCAAACCTCAGGCAGTCCCACCTTTTCCCTAACAGGTAACCGATTCCTAGATGCAGGGAAATAGCACAGCTCCTACACCAGGCTCTCAGCAGGGAGCCAGAGCAGAGCCCCCTCCTTTGGGAAAAGCAAGCAAACAAGGCTCAGCTTTTATCCACTGAAAAGCTGCCAGGACTAGGGCTCTCACAAAGGGATTGCAAGTTCAGGCCTTCAAACAGGCAGGCCCTAGACCTGCGACCTGCTGCCCGAGAAAGTGCCCCGAGCCAGGGTCAAACTAAAGGGGCAAAAGTCATGTTCATGCTTTCTTGGACGAGGCCAGACAACTCCAGGGCCAGGTCAGACAAGACTAAAATATCTGGCCTAACACCACATCTGGTCATGGAAATGCTGGTCACTGCCTCTCCTTGGCGACACAGCACCAAGCACATTCTGTGCTCGCTGCAGACTGTTGCCCCTTAACATCCTTGCGTGTCCTCTCTCTAACAGAACACAAGCCATCTGCTCCAGATGCCTCTAGGACATGGCTTCCAGCCTACTCATCGGGCGAGGTGACCCGCTCTCTGGACCAAGCAGGACCATGCTTCCCGAGGCCACTCTCAAGCACCACAGGACAGAGAGCAAGAGAAAAACACCCATATCCCCCTGGACGCCCACTTGTCAGCTTCGGAAGTAGCTAGAAGACAGAACCCCACCCATTTATCCCCATAAAAGAATTACGGGTATTCTCTCTTGAGGGGGGATATGTCAGGTAGGAAGTCAGAAATTGAGCCTGTGTGTGTGTGTGTGTGTGTGTATGTGAGAGAGAGAGAGAGACAGGCCTGCAGCCCAGCACCTGCTGCGGAAGCCCCAGGAGCCCAGACCCTGGTCACCTCCCAGGTGGTCCCAGACCCTGGTCACCTCCCAGGTGGTCCCAGCCCTTCCCCAGGAAAGCTCCCAGGAGAATTCTCTCTCCTCAGGACCAAGGGGCAAGAAAACCTTCTCAGACAGCCCACCCACGGAGCCCACCACAGAGCTCCGGGCTCCCAGCCGGCTTCGGCCATGTGGGACTCAACCCGCGGATGGAAGCTTCTGTGTGACTGTCTTTCCGGTAAGTAAACAAATCATTAAGAATAAACAGAAACCCCCTTTCTTGAGGCGTCCTTCCACTGGGATCCAGGTCCCCCCCCCCCCCCCAGGCATCCGCGTCCTTGGGGCGGAGGCGGCAGAGAAATGGGAGCGCCCCGGAGGGCCTGCC